GGGGAGCGGGCGGTGGGCGGGCTGTGTGTGCGGCCGTCGCCGCCTCTCCATGGCGAAAAGCAAGTTCGAGTATGTGCGGGACTTCGAGACGGACGATAGCTGTCTGCCCAACTGCTGGATAGTGGTCCGGCTGGATGGCCGCAACTTCCACAGGTGAAGGCCGGGCGGGCAGCCAATGGCCGGGGCGTTTATAGTGGTGTGGTCGCTATGGCGACGCCTCAGCGAGCGGGAGGACGGGGGCTGGGAGACGGCGGGGCGTGGGAGGGAGTTTCCTCGGCTTAAAGGCGCTGGGAGTGCGGTCTCTGAGTGTTGTGTCGAGAAGAGGGGCCCCGACTGGTGCCGTACAGTTGGCCTTGGCCGACCCGGGTGAATTCTGTAGTTGCAAGGGTTACAAATCCTCCTTTCCCCCGAATCACTGAACCTTTCACTCGGCCTCTCCAGGGCGCGGAGTTACTACGGGTGTTTTGTCTTCAAGGGCCATGAGCACTTTCAGAACGTGCCTTTGACAGGGCGGTGGGGAAGTGGTGCCTTGGGTGTGCTGGGGGATGGACAGCAAGTGGTGTACAGGGATATTTAGTTGTCTTTGAAGTCAGTGTCTGTGTGGCATTTGCCTTTCTTTGGGATAAATAGGACACAGTTCTCTTGAGTGGTAGGTGACATGTTCTTGCTGTGTATTTGATCTCTAGTTTGGTCATGGGGGGTTCTGGTAGAGCTCTCAAGTGTTGACAAGTTTATTGATAACGTTGCTCTTGTGACTATAAAAGGCATCCTAGGAGAAAGTGAGTTTTTGGAAAGCAGTATTTGACATCCTTTTCCAGGTAAAATACAGAAACCAGTCATTTTGAAGGACTGGTTAAGGTGAAAGAGAATGGGTTATCCAGAGTATCATATATAAAAGGAGGTTTTTGTTATTGCTTCTCATACCTGGAGGGAATTCTCTGTCAATATTGACAGGACACTGGAAATCAATATTCGTGGAAGCAGATATGAGGAAAATGAACACGTTAATATTTTCAGTAGCTTTTTAAAGAGTTCTCATTCAACCATTTTTGCTTTGAAGGTTTTCTGAGCAGCATGAGTTCAAAAAGCCAAATGATGACCGTGCTCTTCATCTGATGACCAAGTGTGCCCAGACAGTGATGCAAGAGTTGGAGGATATTGCTATTGCTTATGGACAGAGTGATGAATATAGTTTTGTTTTCAAAAAGAAGAGTAGATGGTTTAAAAGAAGAGCAAGGTAACAGCTGCTTTGATGCTAAAGTAAACTTGTTTTTAACATCTCTCTCTAAACCTGTAATTCTTCTTTGAATTTGCTTTTATGTACACACAGAGGTTAGGAGTAGGGCTGTGTTTGGGTGCATATGCTACAGTTAGTTCAGGTTCTTGTGTGAACTCTTTGCATGTGTTCAGTGAAACAGTTTTTTAAAAAAGCTTTGCTGAAACAAGTATTGGAAACATTGTTAGAACAAACATTCTTTTAATAAAATGTTATCTTTTCCAAACTTTCTCACTTGATTCTCAGTACTTCCTGTTCTTCAAAAGACTATGCTGTTGCTAGTCTGCTTGGCCATTATTTAAGAAATGCTGCTATCCACCAGAATTATTGCTACTGATACCTCAGATAATCACAGATATATAATCATATTGATGTATTTCTTTCTTTTTCCTTTTCCTTTGTGTTTGCAAGTAAGTTCATGACTCATGTGGTCTCCCAGTTTGCGTCAAGTTACGTTTTCTATTGGAAGGATTACTTTAAGGACCAGCAACTTCTGTACCCACCAGGATTTGATGGACGAATTGTGTTGTACCCCAGCAACCAAAATTTAAAGGACTACCTCAGCTGGAGACAAGCAGATTGTAAGTGTTTCTAGAAATGGCAGATTGTGCAGTTTGAATTCTCTTCCTCTCTGAATATAAATGCTTTTATTGCCAGTGATTTTGTATGTATAGGTATCAGTGAAAGAACAGCAGGTAGGGTGGTAGTTTTACATAAACAGTATTAGAATTGTTTTGGGCTTTGTATGGATACAGCAATAACTGGCTGAAATTCTGAGTCTTCAGGCTACAACTGTATTTGTTGCATCCTGGAAGTGAGTTCAGCTCAGAAAATATTAGAATTATTAGTAGAATTGATTTATTATTTTTTATGTTCTGGGTTTGTTTAGCCAAGGTAATTAATCTTCTTTAATGAAGAGATGTCAGTGTTCAAATTCACACCATGTAGCAATCAGAAGTGCTGTGTACTCCATGCTAGAACAGACCGTTGGATTTACTTTCTAGGCGTTTGTTAGTACCTAGTCTCTGTTGCTCAAGATAATTTAGGTTACATGTAAACACCCTTCACCCTCTGCTGTCCTTTTTCAGAATTACAATGAAATGTATCTTCTAGCCATTCTTATGATATGTAGTACCTTAAAAAAGGATCAGAAAGATTGTATTGTCTCTAGTAACTGATATTAATTCCCATTTATTCTTGTCTGGTTCTTGGATATGAGTCTGGAAATAAAGCTGATTTTATTTAGTCAGATTTAGTAAATTCTCTTTTTTTCTATAGGCCATATTAATAACCTTTATAATACAGTGTTTTGGATGCTTGTACAGCGAAGTGGTTTGACACCAGTGCAAGCACAGGATAGACTTCAGGTAAGAGGCTTTTGAGGTTGTGGTTTTTTCCAGCAACAAAGAAAATCATAAGGTTTGCAAAGCTGTGTCTTGCCTACCCAGCAGCCCTGGCTGGCTTGTCTGTTCTTACTGTAACAATTTTGTGATTCAACAACTTCTTGAAGTGTACAGATGTTAATATGATTAGAAAATAATGTATTTCTGGTCAAATATTAGCAGGATTTTAATTTCTTAATTAGCAAGTTCAGAAATCTTAGAAATGTCATATAAAAACCCAGTATCCGTACACACAAAGTACAATGGCAGAATCCATTGTGTAGACTTCAGCAGATTATTTACTTTTTCTTCTGGAGTATGACTTTCTTATATTTCTCTTGAAAATGTAATAAAACCCCTTCTGTTTTAACATCCTCATTTGACAGTTGGAAATAATTCCTCCGTTGGGAGAGGTAATTAAACCTTGTAATCTAAAGGTAAAAAAACCTGTATAAATGTCAGTCTTTCTTTCAGTGTTCACCCGTCTTCTACCCTAGAGATTCTGTTTGTTTGTCCGCTTTTTTTTAAGAGTACTTTTTCTTTCCATTTACTCTCAGGGAACTTTGGCTGGAGATAAGAATGAGATCTTGTTTTCTGAATTCAACATCAACTACAACAATGAACCTTTGATGTATAGAAAAGGAACTGTCTTAATATGGCAGAAGGTAAAAAACTCTTTACCACTTGCTTCATGCTCATGTTTTCAATAGGTACACTATGTCAGACAAGCTACACTGTAAGATCACCAGATGTATCCCGTATGTATGGCTGTGTATAAATCTATCTTAAAACTAACCATATGGGTTATATAATGATGTGTAAGGTGACTGCTGTGGAGATTTTTTGAGATATTTTTATCTATGAGCATCATACAAAAACTAGTCTGAAGTCTGGCTTACATACTGGTTATGACTGTTGAGATAAAATGTGTATCAACAGATGACTATGTATATGTAGAATTTCACAAGAGAGATGTATTTGCTAGATAAATCTCCCTTGTTTAATGAATCATACAGTTGGTTTCTTAGTGTTACCAGCTTTGAAAACTGAGGAAGTATTCTACTTCGTGAAAAATGACATTTTAATGACTGTTGTCAGTTTGATATGGTGATCACTGGGGCCTGTGCCAGGCCCTTCACAGCATTAGATCTCAAGTATTTCCACTGCAAAAGAATTATGAACTTTAGTTCAGTAAGGGAGCTCAGCTACATCCTTTTCTACTTCTGTAAAGGAGCGTGGTAAGGAGTGCAGCTGTTAACAGGGAATTTCTTTTAACGGTAACTTGGAAATGTTCATCATTCTAGGATTACATCATTGATCCAGAATTAGTGGAAGAAATTCCTGTCCTGTGTTTTGTATGAGATGAGACCCCAGAAAATCATACATGTTTTATGGCCTTAGCATCCTTCTGTACCAGGAGATCTTAACTAGAAATACGTGTGTTTCGTGTGATCAGAACCCCATCTGTCTATGTTAAGACTTCTCCATAACTTCTTCAGCCTTTCGTCTTCTATACATAAAAAATTGTAAGCCTTTATTTTATATTTTATTTAAATTTTGTCCAACAATTTCTATTATTCATTTGAACTAACTAGAACAGATAGAGGCTTCCACCTGGAAATATATTCCACTTGTTCCTTATGCATATTTTTTTATTGGTAATTGTAGACATTTGCAGGGTTTCCCATTTGCTTTACATAGTTCCAAATTAAATATTGTGCTTCATTCAAGAATACTTGCAATCAGTTATGTGAATTTACAGGTCATTCTTAAAGACACAGTGATGACATGCAGTTCCAACTGCTCATGTGTTAGTTGAGAATAGATTACATTTTCAAAAGATACAGTGTTCAAATTCTGTAGTATGCTATAGGGTTGATAGTTGCTTTTATTGTAGATTTGTTTCTTATTTATCTGTGAATCCCCTCTGGGGTCTCATATGTCTGGTAATGTGTCAACTGTGTTTTCAGATTAATGAAGTCATGACTAAGAAAATAAAACTGCCAGAGGAAACAGAAGAAAAGGAAGTAGAAGTGACTCGGACTAGGACTAAAGTTGTTCCCCTGCACTGTGACATTATTGGTGACCAGTTCTGGGAGGAGTATCCTGAGATTCTGGCTGAGGATAGTTGATACCTCTGATGAGTATAACTGGTAGTTCACATTCTGCTTGGGTTGTTGGCAAGTGAGGACCATGAATGGTGGCTAGCAGAATTTAACCTCTGACCTTCTTCAACAGCTACATCGGTTTTAGCACTGTTGTTGCCTGAAAAACAGTCACTGGTATGTTGTCTGACATACAAGGATATACCCATATGGAAAACCTAAAATCATATTTTATTTTGAATGTTAAGAACTTCTCATAAATTAACTCTTCCTTCCTTGTACATGCATATTTGTAGGAAAAGTGTCTAGAAATTTCATGCATTTCTGTATCGTTTAAACCATGAGGTATTTTACTGAATGGCTGAACTATATAAAAGCTTGCATATTTGAACAGTTAAAAGCAGAGGAGAAAATAATTGTTTAGATTTTTGTTTCAATTGAGATGGACCAGAATACTTCAGTTGGCACTTATTATTAAATTTCAAGGCCACTGTGATTAGACTCTGATTTTCACAGAAAAAAACTGGAGTAGCCCAGCAGATTCCATGACTGATTTTTTAAAAAAAACTTTTGTCAAATGTACAGGATTTTTATACTTTTTAAAAGTTAAAAAAAAACCCAACAACCTCTGCTGTGTTTATTACTTCGCCTTTCTCATTCCTGGGACTTCAATGTTTGGAAGTTTCACCAATTAGTAGTAGAAGTTAATAAAGATACTGTACAGACTTGAATCCTGTTAGGACAGGTGGACATTGTGATCTGTCCCACTGTGTAGTAGAGTGAAAGGCAAAGAGGGTGCTAACAAGAACTTGTGTTGCTGTTCTCTGATTGCTGGGGATGACACAGACTTAGCAGTCCTGACAACACATGTTCAAGGGAAGGAGGGGAGTGTGTTGCCTGGTCTGTCATGGTTTAAACCCAGCCAGCAGCCAAACACCACGCTCCCTGCTCCCAGGGAATGGGGGAGGGAATTGCAGGGGGTAAAGGTAAGGAGCCTTGTAGGTTGGGATAAAAACAATTTAGTAATTGAAGTAATTAAAATAATAATAATAGTAATAATAGAAATTACAAACAAATGATGCACAATACAGTTACCCAGCCTGTTCCCAGCTAGCGATCCTAGAGAAGAGAGAATCCTGAAATCACAGTCCTGGAAGTGAGAGCGAGCTTCCCAATCAACCCTCACCTATATACTGAGTGTGATGTTGTATGATATGGAATAATGCATCAGCCAGTTTGGGTCCATTGCTCTGCCTGTGCCCCCTCCCAGCTTCTTGTGCACCTGCAGACTAGCAGGACAGGGGAAGCTGAAAAGTCCTTGATTTCTTAACAACTAAAACCATCAGTATGTATATATATATATATATATATATA